CATTTGTAGATAAACAACTCAGCAGGGTGGGTATGTGCCTAGGAGTGCTCTGTGGGTCTTTCCAAGGACAAGGGTCATGCGTCTTCCTCGGATAGGCTTTGCTCTGAGAGAGACAGAGAGAGAGAGAGAGAGAGAGAGAGAGAGAGAGTTAGTTTTCTAATATTTACTTTTCAGTTTTCGGTGGACACAACGTCTTTATTTTATTTTATGTGGTGCTGAGGATCTAACCCAGCGCCCAGCGCATGCCAGGTGAGCGCGTTACTGCTTGAGCCACATCCCCAGCCCCCACAAAATTTTTAATGTATTTTATTTTTTAGTTGTAGTTGGACACAAAACCTTTATTTTATTTTATTTTATTTATTTTTACATGGTGCTGAGGATTGAACCCAAGGCTCCGCACACGCTAGGCAAGTGCCTTACCACTGAACTACAACCCCAGCCCCCAATTTTTGTTTTTAATATAAATATGGCACACTATTCAACTAACACTCCAGGAAGATATGTGTATTTATTAATCCTAGGGATCTGGGTGACATGTGTCATACTCCAAAACCCTTCCTTGCCACACCTCCACTAAARTGTAATCTTGCTAAAAGGCACAGACTACCTTATTGTTACATGTATCATCTGTAAAACCAATACAGTACCGTCCACAGATGTTATAGTATTACATACACAAAAGTATATTTAATATATATAAGTGTATTATTCATTTATCTTTAAATATTTATTTTTTAGGTGTATATGGACACAACACAATGCCTTTATTTTTATGGGGTGCTGAGGATCCAACCTGGGTCCCGCCTGTGCTAGGCGAGCGCTCCACCGCTGAGCCACGAACCCAGCCCCAGTATAAAAGCATATTTAATATATACTTTTGTTTTGTTATTTGGTGCTGGGCCTTCCACCTGCGAGGCAAGAGCTCTGCCAATGACATGTCCAAGCCCTTTCTCATTTTTTGAGACAGGGTCTCCTCAAATTACCCAAGTGGGCCCCGAATTGCAATCCTCATATTCGCCAGTGGAGTAGGAATTTTAGGCACCAGCCACCTTGCCCGGCGCGAAATGTTTAGTGTACCTAGAACTGTGCTCCCAGTGTCCAGGAGTTTAATCCCATGGGATGGCCCTGACCGATTATGAAGCCCACCCAAATAGTGTTCTGAAAGACGACTCTGGTTGGGATTCAGGCTCTCGGTTCCACACAGTAAGTGACACATCGACTACTGTCGAGTATCACTTTAAAGTCGACTCACTTTGATCTCGAAATTTCATTTCTGGAAATCGATAATTTCCTGTTAACCTGGTGTAGAGCTTAATTCTCTCCAATTAAGAACACGGTCTGAGGGTCTGCAGCCTACTGAGCAGTGGGTGATTGGAGCTGAAGGAAGTCTGAGCCCGCCCAAGAAGCGGCCCTCCCTCAGGTGCCCGGCAGGCTTCCAATTGGGTCTTGTGGCTCACTCTCTTTCCAGGTTGGTGTTCCGGCTTGCCCGTCGCCGCTCTAGAACCCGCCTTTAGCCAGCAACGATTGGTAAATCGTTACGTCACTGCCCCATCTATCCCCTTCTGATTGGCTCTCATAGGAAGGGGCGGTGGCAACGTCACGGGCCAGGGCCGCCATTTTGACTGAGCAACCATAGTGACAGGAGCCGAAGCAGCAGCGCAGGTTGTCCCCGTTTCCCCTCCCCCTTCCCTTCTCCGGTTAACTACCCGGGTCCCCTACACTCCACAGTCCCAGTCCCGTCATGTCCCAGAAACTAGAAGAAGAGAACCCTGCGGAGGAGACCGGCGAGGAGAAGCAGGTGAAAAGGAGGGGGTGCGGGTGGGCGAGCCGGGGGCGACCGTGATGGGGCGGGAGACAGTCTTTTGCCAGTGCGGATTGGTCGCCATGGGCTCAGGCTCTGCAGGGGTTGGTCACATCTTGCGTCACGAAGGGTGAGTTTCAGTACGGGCTGCTGTTTTGGCTTTGGTTAGTTAGGTCCCTTGTCAGTCAGGGCCATACCCTTACTGATTGGCCAGTACTTCCTGGGCCCAAACCGTGGAAACTCTGCTGTAATTGGCCGAGCTTGAGCGTGGGGCGGGTGTTTGGAAAGGGGCTGGTGGTCCCGGATTGTGGTGTCTCGTTCGGTTATGGAGGCGGATGACCCAGCTGCTAGCCTGAGGCCCGCGTCCTCAATCCGCGAAAACATGCCGGTGGAGGCAAAGAAGTTGAAAAAGAACTCGCGCGGGGGGAGGGGAAGTAATCCCTGCCGCGTCGAGTTCAAGTTGGCAACTTTCTTAGAGACCTGTGTTGGCGGTCGGGGATGGTCTGTCGTTCTCCTTCAGTGAGGACCACCAAGATTGGAGAGGACTAACGGGCGCCGTGGCGCACGCCTGTCATTCCAGCGACTCGGGAGGATCCACGCCGGTCTCAGCACCTTGGCGAGGCCCTAATCAGTTTAGCAAGACCCTGCCCCAAAATAAAAAATAAAAAGGACTGAGGATGTGGATGGTTAAGCGGCCCTGGGTTTAATCCAAGGAATCGGACTAGGTTAAACCTAGAAAAAACGCTGACAGAGTCTTGACAAGAAAGACTGTTCCTCCAGATTTCCAAGGCAGTGGGACTGGGCCACCTTGATGATTGTGTGATGAAAACACGAGCGCTGGGGTTTGTATTTTCACTTATGATATTTAGTTTGGGCTCAAAGATTCATGAAATACACTTGGTGTTATAGCTAAGGGAAAATCCTCTAAAAAGAGCCACACATTGACTCCAGGTTCTTTTAAAAAAAGTAAAGAGGAGCAGGGCACACAAAAGCAAGAAGATGACAACAATGAGAGCCCCTGAAAGGCTTTTGGTCTCTCTGCATTCCCCAACTTCATCACTTGCCCCACTAAGATAGGCATTGTTTTCTTCCTTCCTTCCTTCCTTTCCTTCCTTCCTTTCCTTCCTTTCCTTCCTTTCTTTCTTTTTTAATGAAAACTGACAAATAAGTACTAGTGAACCCATTGTTTCTTAATTTTCCTGAGGTTAAAAACTGTTTTCAGGGGCTGGGGATGTGGCTCAAGCGGTAGCGCGCTYGCCTGGCATGCGTGCRGCCCGGGTTCGATYCTCAGCACCACAKACMAACAAAGATGTTGTGTCCGCCAAKAACTAAAAAATAAATATTAAAATTCTCTCCCTCCCTCTCTCATTCTCTCTTTAAAAAAAAAAAAAAAGCTGTTTTCATCTGTAACTATGACCTTCCTACCACAATATTTGAAGAAATGTTGAAGCAATGCTGTGCCATTACTCAGGGGAAATCTTTGGTGAAAGCCACATAGCTAAGCCTCCTCCACAGGGAGATTTACCAGATGGGTTTCTTAGACTCTAAATAAGGAGAGAACATCTCAGAAGACTTATCTCCTTTGATTTCCCATTGGGCCTGCAGGACAGCCTACGGAACCCTCCTACTCATCTTGTATCACCAGATGCTCCCTCCAGCTTTTTTCTCTTTTTCCTTTCTGTGCTGAGTGAGCTATGGCTCAYTCTTATTCAAGTATTGTATTTATACATCACAGGTCACTGGGTTGGTTTCTTGGGTGTAGTGTGAGAAGTAGCTTGTCTTCTCACAATACAGTCATCTTAAGCTTTAGTGGTTTGAACAAAAGTGTAGCTTTAAGAGTAGAGTACAGAGAGCTTGTTTATACCTGGGTGGATCTCCAGGAAAAGATAAATGGTTATCAGATATGGAAGCAGTTGTTTCTTGTTTTTTTTTTTTAAAGATAGAAGAGAATTTTATTTTTAATATTTACTCTTTAGTTCTCGGCGGACACAACATCTTTGTTGGTATGTGGTGCTGGGGATCGAACCCGGGCCGCACGCACTCCAGGCGAGCGCGCTACCAGTTGAGCCACATCCCCAGCCCTGAAGCAGTTGTTTCTTGATCTATAATTTTACTTCACTCATTTGTTTTCTTTAGGACACGCAAGAGAAAGAAGGTATTCTCCCTGAGAGAGCTGAGGAGGCAAAGCTAAAGGCCAAATATCCAAGTCTAGGACAAAAACCTGGAGGCTCTGACTTCCTCATGAAGAGACTTCAAAAAGGGGTATGGAGCACAATCTCTTACTTTCTTTCTTTGGACCAAAAAGGAGTTCTACGGATGATGTCTACAGAGGTTCTATTGGTTGGGGGGCAATTGAGAAGACAGGAATTACAAACTTCAAAAGAGAGCTGCTGCAGTGACACACACCTATAATCCCAGTGACTCAGGAGGCTGAGGCAGAAGGATTGCAAGCCAGCCTCAACAACTTAGTGAGCCCCTGTCTCAAAATAAAAAATAAAGAGGGCTGGGAACATGACTCATTGGTAAAGCACACATGGATAAAACCCCCAGTACCAGAAAGAAAAGAAACTTCAAAAGAGGAAAAAATATATATATTGTATATCCCTGATATAGTATCAGTTCCCTTCTGGTCTCCCTCAATTAAGGCTTAAATTGTGACATTTGGGTATGTGGAAGAACAAGGGAATGAGGGAAGGATGCTCATAGAAACTGAAAATGCAGACTAGCCCAAGGCATTTGCATGTTTAAATGGTAGAGGTTTTAGGGCTGTATTTTTTAGGGTTCAGAAATAAATTTGGAGGTATATTATTTCAGAGAAAGATCAAGCCATCTGTCTTATAGAAATCAACTTGGAATGATTAGTCAGCTTGTTCATAGACCCTTAAAGTTAGCACCAGCCATCAACTATAATCCCTCAAGAAACTTATTTTTCCTGTTCCAAGTGGTCTTTCTCACAAAGGGAAAATCTACCTTCATAACCATCTAGCTCCTAACCAGATTTCTTAGCCCATAGAGGTACCTTAAGCTGCTGAGGAATTGTAAGACATTATAYGAGAGTGTGCTTCTCTGGATGACATGGAAAGTGAAACACATCCCTGTGGAGAATCCCAATTATTGAGTCTTAGTCACAGATGATAATGTGATGCTGATTTGCGGTTTACCTCAGTGTAGTCAAGCTAGGCGTAGGCAGGCTGTTGCAGCCATGGAACATGTGTGGGAGTGGTGGAAATCAGAGAGAAAACACATTATCCTCACCAGCAAGCCCAGTTTCTAATCCTGGTTTATAGAGAATAATTTTTATTTTGAGGTTGATCTACTGCTAATTACTGAGACCAACCCAGATTGACCCCTTTATTCATCTTATTCATTTCTTTGTAGCACCACATTATTGCTTTGCACCTAGTAAAGTCCTCAGTCAGCCTTTATGAATGAAGTAAGTTATTTGGGTTAAACCATCCTGTACTAAGTAAGGTTCAAAGGATGTAGGACTGTCCCTCAGATCTAAAATTGCATATTCTTGCTGGGAACCTGCTTATATACCTGAAAAAGAACATACTTGGGAGAAGACATAGGCACACATTGTTGTTTTTTGTGTTTTTTAGTTGTAGTTGGATACAATACCTTTATTTTATTTATTTTTTATGAGGTGCTGAGGATCAAATTCAGGGCCTCACATGTACTAGGCGAGTGCTCTACCACAACCCTAGCCCTGTACATGTTATTAATATTAAACTGTGTATACATTAGAAATTTAAGAGATCTGAGTGTGGATGGGAGTTTATAATGGATGGAAGGTGTGAATCTTCTTGCTTTTGAGAAATGCCAGAACTCCTTACTCAGCTAAACCTTCCTCTTGTTTCTTAGCAAAAGTACTTTGACTCAGGAGACTACAACATGGCCAAAGCCAAGATGAAGAATAAGCAGCTGCYGAGTGCAGGACCAGACAAGAACCTGGTGACTGGTGACCACATCCCCACCCCACAGGATCTGCCCCAGAGAAAGTCCTCACTCGTCACCAGCAAGCTTGCGGGGTAACCTGGGACCCCTCTCCTCCCCTTCCTCACCCTCTGGACTCTTATATATTGTAG